AGTAGAGATGGGGTTTCACCGTGTTGGCCAGGGTGGTCTCGATCTCCTGACCTTGTGATCCGCCTGCCTCAGCCTCCCAAAGTGCTGGGATTACAGGCGTGAGCCCCCGCACCCGGCCGCCTAGCTAATTTTTTGTAGAGATGTAGTCTCACTGTTGCCCAGGCTGGTCTTGCATTACTGAGCTCAACACATCTGCCCACCTAGACTTCCCAAAGTGCAGGGCTTACAGGCTTGAGCCACTGTGCCCCGCCCTGTTTTTAATTTATTTGTTAAAAGATGTATTGTACATATTTTTAGGAATACATATGATATATTGATAGCTGTATCCATTGTGTACTGATCAAGCCTGCATAATGGTGAAATTCATCACTTTCAAACATTTATCTTTGGGGAGCATTACAGTCCTTCTTTAATAGCTATTTTGAAATACACATAAATTCTTAACTATAATTTCCCTGCTGTACCATCCAATACAAGAATGTATTCCATCTAACTATATTTTTGTACCATTAACCAACGTCTCTGCATCCTCCTCCTACTCCCTTCCCTTTCTAGCTCCTGGTAAGTACCAGTCCACTCTCTACCTCCATGAAAACTACCTGTTTAGGTCCCATATATAAGTAAGAGCATGTGATATTTGTCTTTCTGTGCCTCGTGCCTTTTGCTTAACATAACCTCCAGTTCCATCCATGTTGCTACACATGACAGGATTTCGTTCTTTTTTATGGCTGAATAATATTCCGTTGCATTCATCTTCCACAGTTTCTTTATCCATTCATTCATTGATGGACACTTAGGTTGATTCTGTATCTTGTCTAGTGGGAATGGTGCTGCAGTAAACATGAGGGTGCAGATATCTCTTTGTTATGCTGATTGCCTTTCTTTCGGATAAATGCTCATTCAGTTGCAATTTGAACAGGAGTTGTCCACATTTCACATTCTCTTTCTTGCTGTATGAATTAGAGACAGACAGAGGCACAACAAGCCCACAGAGTCACTGGCCACCTTCCTTTCTGCCCTTTCTCTGCGTCTAGCCTATGAATTAAATGCTTTGGCTTGGAGCAGAGAACTGGGGGCCATCACCCTGACTGAGGCTGAGAAAGGTGCTAAGGCTTCCCCAGGGTCATAGTGCTATTTACAGTCCAGCCAGCAAGTGCGTCAAGCCCCATCTTCCTTGTCTAGAAAAGGGAAAGTTTACAAGAATTCACTGAGTCGTGGAGTTCAGTAAGATCCAGCATGGGCCAGGTGCAGTGGCTTGTGCCTGTAATCCCAGCACTTTGGGAGGCCAAAGCAGGAAGATCACTTGAGGCCAGGAGTTCAAGACCAGCCTGGACAAGATGACGAAACCCTGTCTCTACAAAAAAAAAAAAAAAAATTACCAGACGTGCTGGCACATGCTTCCAGTCCCAGCTACTCGGGAGGCTGTGGTGGGAGGATTGTTTCAGCCTGGGAGGTTGAGGCTGCAGTGAGCCAAGTAATAGAGCAAGACCCTGTCTCAAAACAAAAATTTAAAAAGATGGGGGGTGGGACACCATTTGGGAAGCCCCATGAGATAAGGTGAGAGGCTTCAGGTGGTGGATAATGACACTTTCCCTCCCTCCCTCAACAGGGCTGGCCTACTGCAGGCATCTGTCCACCGTGAGGACCCACCTGTCAGCCCTGGTCAATCACAGGATCGTGTCTCAGAACTTGCCCTGCGATGCTGGACAGGGGCTGACAGCCGGGATCTGGGAGCAGCACCTTCAGGATAGCACAGTAAGGCTCAACCGGGCTTGCTCTGCAGTGATGCAGAGGCTGCAGGGGGCCATCTTATTACCTGAGAAATAAGCCCACCTGCTTGTGGGGACTCTAGCTGATGTGCTTGGATTCTGCATATGCAAATTGGAGTTCTCCTTTTTTTGAGAGTTCCAAGACCTACAACTCACTTCGGCCCATGAGTGTGGAGACTGAATGGGAGGTAAAACATGCTGACCTGGAAGGAGTAAAGAACAAATCGGTCTGTAAGCATTTATCATTAAGTGTCCTCTGAGCCGGGCGCGGTGGCTTACGCCTGTAATCCCAGCACTTTGGGAGGCTGAGGCGGGCGGATCACTTGAGGCCAGGAGTTCAAGACCAGCCTGGCTAACATGGTGAAACCCTGCCTCTACAAAAATACAAAAATTAGCTTGCCGTTGTGGTTGAGTACACCTAAGAGTAAAGTAAAATAGGTTTTTAATATTGGAATGTGACTAGATGAGATGGAAGAGGCCCCGGGGCCCTTCAGGACAGCCCTCTAACGCCATCGCCACTTCCCATAACGCATGTGCAGTGAGAACCTGCTGGCCCCATAGCTCTACTAATTGTAACCGCAAAACCTTTGCCTGTAAATGAAATTTTAAAAGAGACACAAACTCAACTCCACATCACATACCTGTTAAAGCCATCCTAGTGTGTACAAAAGATATTAGTGTATAAAGTAGTAGCTACAGTTGTTCATTTTGGATTAATTTGCTTTAGAGAAATTTTCTTAGAGCTGAGTCAAGATTAATAATTGCAAGATAATATTTTCTTTTCTTTCTTTCTTTTCTTTTTTTTTTTTTAAGATGGAGTTTTGCTCTGTGGCCAGGCTGGAGTGCAGTGGCATGATCTCAGCTCACTGCAACCTCTGCCTCCTGGGTTCAAGTGATTCTCCTGCCTCAGCCTCCTGAGTAGCTGGGACTGCAGGCGTGCGCCACCACACCCAGCTAATTTTTTATATTTTAGTAGAAACGGGGTTTCACCATGTAGGCCAGGCTGGTCTCCAACTGCTGACCTCAGGTCATTCACCTGCCTCAGGCTCCCAAAGTGCTAAGATTACAGGGGTGAGCCACCACACCCAACCAATAATATTTTCAAATAAGCATAAGACAAAAACGGCTGAAAATTAATTAAAATATTAATTCCTTATAGCCTACCCTTTCTCTTTTTATGAAAACGGGCTCATACTATGTATGTTTTACCACTTATTTTTTTTCACTTAATGCTACACATTGAGCACTTTTTTATATGGGTCCCCATAGATGCACCCCTCGATCTTTTACAGTGCTGTGTTGCGTACTTGTGTAGGGATGCACGTTCACCCATTGCTGGGCAGTTGGAAAGTTGCCTGGGCTTGGCTTTTTCGTACGATGCCACAACAAATAACCAAGTACCTATGACTTTGCCTATTCAGGCCAGGGTATCTGAGGGCTAGGTCCAAGAAACAGGACTGCTGGATCACGGAAGTAGATCATAATGATACAGTTAGGATGTTGCCAATTAGTTTTCTAGAAGGGAAGGTGCACAGGAGTTGAGGAATATTGGTGAGAAGATAGCTCAGGGCGGCCGGGTGTGGTGGCTCTATGCCTGTAATCCCAGCACTTTGGGAGGCTGAGGCAGGTGGATCACCTGAGGTCGGGAGTTTGAGACCAGCCTGGCCAACATGGCGAAATTCCATCTCTACTAAAAATACAAAAATTAGTTGTGTGTGGTGTCAGGTGCTGGTAGTCCCAGCTACTCAGGAGGCTGAGGCAGGAGAGTCGCTTGAACCTGGGAGGCGGAAGTTGCAGTGAGCCAAGATTGCACCACTGCACTCCAGCCTGGGTGACTGAGTGATTCCGTCTCAAAAAAAAAAAAAAAAAAAAAGAAAGAAAGAAAGAAAGAAAGAAAGAAAGAAAGAAGATAGCTCAGGGTGGCTGGGTGCGGTGGCTCACGCCTTTAATCCCAGTACTTTGGGAGGCCAAGGCAGGCCAGTCACTGGAGGTCAGGAGTTTAAGACCAGCCTGGCCAACATGGTAAAACCCATCTCTACTAAATCCACCCCTGGTTTTCTGTTGACCAAACTCTTTACTCCTCCCCACCTACCACAGAGTTACGAGGAGCAGGAGCTGCTGCGCCTCATCTACTATGGGGGCATCCAGCCTGAGATCCGCAAGGCTGTGTGGCCCTTCCTCCTGGGCCACTACCAGTTCGGGATGACGGAAACAGAAAGGAAAGAGGTTGGTTACCCGCCATGGGCACTGGGGTCTTTGGCAACAAAAGGAGCCAGATAGTGTGGGACTGGGGAGCTCTGGTTTCATGCTGGACCAAGGAGGGGCAGGAGACACAGGGGAGAGGAAACCTGAAGGCGGCTCTGTCTGGTAGAAACACAACACAAGCCACATAGAGAATTCTTACGTCTTTAAATTTGGGACTAAGTGTAGATTCATATGCAGTTGTAAGAGATTAATGCAGAGAAATCTCATACATCTTTTACCCAATTTTTTTTCTGTTGGTAACATCTTGCAAAACGTTGAGGCAGTAAGATATCAGAACCAGAGTATTGACATTGAGGTAATATACTCATCTTAATCAGACTTTCCCAGTTTTACTTGTTCTGTGTGTGTATGTGTGTGTGCGTGTGTGTGTGTGTGTGTGTGTGTGTGTGTGTTTTCTTTACAGTTTTCTCACGTGTAGATCTGTGTCCATCACCACGGCCAACATACAGAACACTTTTATTGCTATAAGGATCCCCATGTTGTCTTATACAGCCAGATTCACCTCCCCCATACCCACACCCTGGCCCTAATCCCTGGCAATCACTAATAATATATTCTTCATTTCTATAATTCTGTCATTTCAAGAATGTTATAAAATGGAATGATCCAGTGTGTAACATTTTGGGATTGATTTTTTTTCACTCAGCATAAACCCTCATCCAAGTCGTTGAGAGTATCGAGAGTTGATTCCTTTTGATGGCTGAGTAGTATTCCATGATATGGATGTAGCAGAGTTTCACTTTCACCTGCTGCGAGACAGCTGAGTTTTTTCTAGTTTTTTGGCTGTTACTAACCAAACTGTAATGAATATTTGTGTACAGTTTTTGTACGAGTATAAATTGTCATTTCTCTGGGATAAATGATGAAGAATGTAATTGCTGGGTCATATAGTAGTTGCATGTTCAGTTTTATATGAAACTTACAAACTTTCACAATAGCACATGCCTTTAGTCCCAGCTGTGGGAGGCTGGAGCAAGAGATTCACTTGAGCTCAGGAGTTCACGTTCAGCCTGGGCGACATCTGGAGACACTGTCTCTAAGGGGAAAAAAAGAAAGTGCCACCCTTTTGCAGTGGCTGTACCATTTCATATGTCCACCAGCAAAATGGGAGTGCTCCATACTTCCATCTTCACCAGATTTTTGCCTTGTCATTATTTTTAATTTCAGCCACCTGACACGTGTAAATGATATTTCATTGTTTTTATTTGCATATTCCAAATGGCTAGTGAAGTTTAAGGTCTTTTCATGTGTTTATTTGCCATTGTGTATCTTCTCTGGTGAAATGTCTGCTAACGTCTTTTGTCCACCTTCTAATTGGATTTTTTTTTTTTCTGTACGGTTAGAGAGTCCTGTATATACTCTGACAACAGTCCTTTGTTAGGATATGGGACTTGCACATATTTTCTCCTAGTCTGTAACTTCTCACCTTGTAACAAGCAGGATCGTCTGCAAAACATTTTTTGAAATTTTTAATGAAACTCAGCTTACCAATTTCTCCTCTTCTGAATTGGGCTTTTGGTGTCAAGTCTAAGAAAATTTTGCCTAGCCCTAGGTCTTGATCTTCTCCTATGATTTATCCTAAAAGTTGTCTATTTTACATTTGACATAAAATCTTTTCAGTTCTTTTTTTTTTTTTAATATAGTGTGTCATTTAGGTCAAAGTTCATTTTTTGCTTATGAGTGTTCAGTTGCTTCGGCATGATTTATTGAAAAGATGTCCTTCCTCCATTGAATTGCTTTTGCACTGTTAAAAAAAAAAGCAGTTGGGAATATATGTGTTGGTCTGTTTCTGGGTTCTCTCTTCTGTTCTGGTGATTTATGAGCCTGGCCTTCTGCCGGTTCCACTCTGTCTCGGTTATTGTAGCACATGGATAATTTTAAATGTCTTCATAGTGATGTTTTAAAAGTAAAAAGAAATATATGCAATTCATATTTCTGAACTTTTTATTTTGAAATATAAATGGTCCCCAACTTCCAATGGTTGGTCTTACAATTTTTTGACTTCATGATGGGTTTCTCAGGGTATTAAATATAATTTTTTTGTTTTTGAGATGGAGTCTCGCTCTGTTGACCAGACTGGAGTGCAGTGGTGTGATCTTGGCTCACTGTAGCTTCCATCTCCTGGGTTCAAGCAATTTCCCCCCTCCCCTCAAGTACCTGGGATTACAGATGCCCACCACCATGCCCGGCTAATTTTTGTATTTTTAGTAGAGACGGGGTTTCACCATGTTGGCCGGGCAGCTCTCAAACTCCTGACCTCAGGTGATCCACCCACCTCAGCCTCCTAAAGTGCTGGGATTACAGGCGTGAGCCACCACCCCCGGCCTTAAATGCATTTTTGACTTAAGATATTTTCAACTTAGGATGCATTTATTGGGACATAACCCCATCATAAGTCGAGAAGCATTGGTAATTATAAGTTCACTGGAAGCTGCAAAAAGTAACAGAGGTCCCAGGTGCCCATCACCCAGCTTTCCCCAGTGGTAACAGTTTACGTAACTAAAGTACACTGTCAGAATCAGAGCATTAACACTGGTACAATACAACTAGCTAGACTACAGGCCTTACTGGGACGTCAGCAGATTTTGCATCTGCTTGTGTATGTTTTTATGTGTGTGTAGTTCGATGACATTTCATCAAGATGAGATTCATTTCAGTATTTTATTTAACCAGATATGTCCAATATATTATCCCTCTGTTGACACCTCGGGGCCCCTCTGTTGACACCTCAGGTGACATTGCATCTGCCCTGGCAGGTGGACG